GGCCAGAAATGAAGCCAAATCCAGAAGAGGCTATATAATGAGGGGTAGCATAGTGAGCTATCACTGATGATGCCAGAGAGATCTTGACTGAAAGCAGAGAATATAAAAAAGATGTCTAACCTGTCCTTTAATGATTATGCAAAGAATTAAACCGTGTGGATCACAACAATTTCTAGATAAAATTGCAAAGCATGGGGATTCCTGAGCACTTCATTGTGTTCCTGGGCTCCTGTCCAGGGACAAAGAGGCAGTCATTTGAAAGGAACACGGGAATCTGAGTGGTTTAAACTCATGAAAAGTGAGCATCAGGGTAGTCACCTCTCCCCGCGCTTCTTCCGTCTGTGTGCCGAGCACCCCATCCGAGAGGCTGCATAGGAAGGAGAACCCGGCATCCGGACTGCAGGCGAGTGAACACCGTTTGAAATGAGGATGACAGCCTCCGTTGCTGAAAGTGCAGACTTGACGTAGCCACCTACGAAGATGGAAGACGGCGGCTTTCACTATGGATCAATCCATATACAGGAAAATGCAAAAACCCAATTCAGCATGGAAGAAAACAAAAGTCCTTACAATGTGATCAATGGATAAATGGAGAAAGATTAAAGTTGTCAAGGAATTCATTTTACTTTGGTCCACAAGCAAGTCCCATGTTTAAGCAGTAGTTAAGAAACGATGGATTGTATCAGGTGGAGGAACAGCACAAAATCTGCCTAAATTGTTAACGTCTTGGATGTCGAGCCATGGTATTCTTAATTGCCTCATAGACATGTGAGAGCTGGACAATGAATACAGAAGACCAGAGAATTGATACCATGAACTGTCAGGAGAACAACCAGAATGCTTAACTGTAAGCTAGTAGGGCTTTCCCTGTCCTTCCTAAAAAACCCTAAGTACACTTGCCTGTGGGAAAGAGCAAGGAGCCCCCGTGGTGCCGTGGATTAAGCATTGGGCTGCTAACCTCAAGGTTGATGGTTGAAACGTACCAGCCTCTCCGGAGGAGAAGGATGCGAATGTCTGTTCCTGCGAACATTTTTAGTCTCTGAGACACTACAGAGGGTCACAATGAGTTGGAATTGTCAATTGCTAGTAGGTTTGGTTTTGGTATTAGGAAAACTCTCCTTTGACCGTCAAGTCAGAATTGGAGTTTGTGCAGAAAGAGGGCAGAAGTATCTTGGTTGTTAGGAATACTTGCTCTTGTCCCTTGTGCAATTTGGTCTTTTAAGATCTGTGTATATGGGATAACATTGATACCAGCCACTCAAAAGATTAGATGGAAACCGTAGGGGAAAGTGAGTTTAATGGGGGAGGAACAAATCAGAAAATGAGGGCGAGCATGGTGGTCCAACTGGAAGAAGGTAATCAATGCCATCACTGAGTTGCACAGGAAGAAATGAATCAATAGGTGTAAGTTTTTGCTGTGAACATTCTCAATAACAACAACAGAATTAAGATCACATATGTGAGGGGCTTGATAGATACATATACATATATATAGGCTTCAAATATACATATATAGC